TTTTTGTTTTTTATTAAATTTGTTAAAAATATAAAGAACATAAATGCAATTTTTATAAAATTGGGCCATTTACCTCAAAAGTTACTATTCTATTCCCTTTTTTACATCTAAGTATTTTAATTGCGCTTAAAAAAATACATATAGTTATGCATTTAAAATAGATTTTGGAAATTATATGAACTTGCATCTCAGGGTCAAAGTCAAAAAGGTAGAGAAAAGTTGGTTATATATAAATTTTTTTGTATGTGTTATACTATAAAAAAAAAGAATTGAAATAAATAGTCGGAAACCTCTAAATTGAAAAGTTCTTAAGGTTCTTTAGCTTGTCATTTGATTTAATATTACGTTACATTAGACTTGTTCATTTCTAATTATTAATGTTACACAAACTTTCAATTAGTGATCGACCAGTAATTTACCATATTCTGACATGACCAGTGATTGTTATAAATATTTTTTTTTAAAGAAAGAAATTCCCGTAAACTTAAATCAGCTGGAAAATATATTTCAGAATATCAATAGTAGTTATTTAATAATAGTTCGGAGACGTGGTCTACCATAATATTGCCAAAATTGTCCTAACCTTTAAGATTTTACACCTTAGTTTTATATTATCCTTTCATTTTGAACACGCTTGACGGTCTCTCAAGATTTAAGTGAAATCAACAAAGGATTGGTATGGTTTTCAGAATAATATCTTTCACTTTTAGCTTTGTGATTATTTAGATTGTAATGTAATTCGTTTTTAAAGAATTGTTTCGTCAAAATAATATAAAAATATAATAAGGTTCAGGGTCACCATCACTAGGAAGAAAACATTATTAACGTGTAATGTAAACAAACATGTCGTAAAATATTATCTTCATACGAGTAAGGGAAATTTTATTAAACTATTTAACGCATTATATTAATGATACAACTTTGAATTCAACATTTACCTTTAACTAAATTTTCGAATTTACCTATTGCCAATTATGATAAGAATGTCCGTTATTTACGTGATTATAAAAAGAATCTCCACTTCTTCTGTTGCTATTAATTATGCTTTCATCATTAAAACTTCCTCTTTTACCTCCATGGTAATAATGTTCACCACCACGACCACCACCACCACGACCATCACCATAATTATTATAAAGACTATGACCACTTGATCCTACGCTTAGCCTTTGATTAGATATGTTAAACGAATTTAATTCAAGCGTACGAATTTGTGCAAATAAAGCTACCGTTAAAAATGCGGTTATAAGGTAGAGCAGTATATTTAAAATTCCCAAAAAGATGCTTAATAAATGGGTGTAACAATATACTTGATGGAATACACGACGTTTCGCATGAAATTCTGACGGGGAATCAAGGCAAATCAATAGGTTACCCTTGTAAGCAGGGATGAAGTTTGTCAATGCTATATTTGGGATTAAGAAAAGAAATTTAGGGAAGGGAACTTTAAGAATCTGTAAAAAGGAATTGAATTTACCCGACGTGGACCATAATGCAATCAACAAGCTAAAAAGTAAACGATTCGAGAATTGATAAACGAATTTTAATGACGATCAACTTATTTTTAGATTTTAAAACTTACAAGTCAAATAAAATATCGGTTTTAGGAAGACCATTTTTCCACCTCGTCTCAAACGTGATCACGTAATACCCTTTAGAATGAAAAGGCTTTAACAAAAAAAATATACAGTAATTCTCGTAAACAGGCCGCGAAGAATTAGGGGACTTACCGCTCGTATAAAATCCTATCAAAGTGACAAGCAAAAAATATATTTTTATTCCATGGATCGAAAATCTACATGTATAATTTTAATTTTCTATAAATAAAATGCCTTAAATAGAAATAAATGTCATCGTGCCGCGTATTATAATAATGAAAATAATGAACCACCCTTGATCGGTAAAGTATAAATGTAGTTTTGATGCAGTGTAATAAATCGTGTATGAAATCACCCCGGCAATCTCTGCGAAAAATTTAAAAAGGGATCGTGAGAACTTTCAATATTTTTTTTATTTTTTTTCCCGAGAAAAATATACCCAATATTAAACAGCTTAACGTTGATACGAATGTTAATATTCGAAATAATTTGAAAATTAACCTTCGTTCCTGGAGTGCCATTTCAAATTATTTATTTGGTAAATGATTACAATTACATACAATATTTATAATGTTTCAAAAATAATAAAAATAATACAAGAAAGAAATTCCGATAAAAACATTGTGATCTCCTGACCTTTATCTAACATACTAAATTGGGAAATCTGATTTATGTTCAATTGGGATAATCATTTCCATCGGACGTTAGACTCCATATCTAAAAATATCTCGTGTATACACTCATAGATATAGTTATATAATGAGAACTGGTATAACTGACATCGATTGATAAATGAGAATATGTGTACAAATAATCTCAATTTATTTTATTATCGTTTCATCTTAAATTTTTAATTTTTCCGAGGTTTTTTTTTCTGATTTCCTAAAAAAAAAAAAATCGTTCGTTTTTTTTTTTTCATTTAATTCATTTAATTGAACAATTTATTTTGTTCAACAAACATTCTGCAAATTTGTTCAATAAAAAGTAATGCAGGGGTGTTCCTGCGTTCCTTTTTTGATCAAAATCCCCGATTTGGAAAATTTTAATGTCTAAAAAAATATATATAAAGAACGCTTTTTGGCGTTCTTCAATTATTGTTTTTATTTCGTCTTTTCGTTCGAAAAATAATTAGTTCTTTACGTTAATAGAATTATAATATAAACTTATAGAAGGTTTTTTTTTTTGGAGTAAGAACGGAAATATAGGAGAAGCATTATTTTTGAAGAAAATATTGACGATAAAACTAGTAAAATTATAAATCAATCATAATGGCCCAACAAATAAACATCGTCAAATTAATTACCCTTTGTTGTGCTTTCTTCTTAATCGTTACGTATGTTTATGCTGAAACAAAAGTCGTCAAAGTCGGTGGAAATGGATTGTTAAGATTTGTCCCTCAAAACATAACAGCTGTTCAAGGAGATGTTGTAAGTGCTTTAAAAGTTTTTTTTTTTAAAAAAAAAAAAAGATTTAACTTGATAGAATTTTCCCTTTTCTTTAATAGATTCGATGGGAGTTTGAAGGTGGAATGCATAATGTTGTTCAAAGTAATGGACTCAGCTCATGTGAACTAAGTCAAAATGAAAAATCTTGTTAGTATTTCTGAATTTTTTTTTTTTTTTTTTAAAAAAAAAAGGTTTTTTACTTTTTCACTTTATTAATTTTTTTTTTTTTTTTTAAAGTCAAATCCACAACAAATCCAGTAAATGGATTTGAATTACCAATCACAGATTCAAACGCAACGCTTTATTACCTTTGTAGTGTAGGAACTCATTGTGCGAATGGCATGTGGGGGGTTATTTACGTTGGAGGAACTGAACCAACTCCAATTGCTGCGGCTAATCCTCCGAGTACTCCTGGCTCGAGTGCCGTTAGATTCGTTGGTGACTTTAAATTGGAAGCTTTTGCCACATTGTTTGTTTTATCCTTGATGAAATTTTTATTCTAACGTATTTCGTAGACCAGCATGTTAATTTAAAACAATAAGCCAATATTTTATGCCGCAGTGATGTTCGCTGCGCCAACGAATCTTTTTAATAAAATCGGTTACACGGGTCTTGTACTACACAAAGCATTTGATTTTTAATGTGGCTTCTTTATGGTTCATCTTCCCACAGAAAAATAAATATGGATAAAAAATTAATTATCCTCAATAATTACGCAAAACTCCTCGAAGATTCTGATGAATATAATGTTATCATAAATGCCGGTGAAGGACCATCCTTAAAAACTTTTAACGCTCATTCCGTGATTCTCAAAGCACAATCCCCTTATTTTCTCTCGGCTTTAAAAAATTGCGAAAAAAAAAATGACAAATTTCTATTCGAGAAACCAAACGTTTCACCCAAAGTATTTGACGTTGTCTTAAAATATATTTATAGTGGTAGCATCTCCCTCGTAAATTTCAATTCGGAAGAATTGATGGATGTACTTGTTGCCGCCAGTGAATTCATTTTAAATGAATTAGTTGGTTATATCGAAGATATTCTTTTAGCATCTCCTAATGAATGGCTAAGTAATTATTTTGTTAAAATTTATTTATGCACATTACAAACATTACAACAAGAATCTTGTAAAAAGCTCAAAGAATATTGCAACAAAACGATTCAAGAAAAACCATCAACACTTTTTGAATCAGTGGATTTTACATTGTTAGATGAAAGTGTGTTGAAAATGTTACTGGAAAAGAAAATATTTAAATTTAAAGAAATTGAAATTTGGAAGTTTGTAAAAAAATGGGGGATCGCTCGAAATTCATCTATCAATTTTAATGAAGATCCAAAGACCTGGACTCAAGAAAATTTTTTGAGATTGAAAGAAACTCTAAGTCCATGTATCTCCTCCGTTCAATTTTCATTGTGTACGTCAGATGAATTCTTCGATCATGTTAAACCTTTTAAAAAGTCTTTGATGAGGATTATTATGAAGATCTTTTATGGAATTATATTAGAAAACAAAATTCAGGTAAAAAAAATTTTTTTCTCATAAAAATTTTTGTTTGTATTTCATTTATAACTCTCATTTTGATTTAAGGGAGAAAAATGTTAAATAAAGGAAAAAAAGACAAAACAGATGCAAAAATCATGGAAAATATTCAACAAAATTACAATGGAAATGATAACAAGAAATGGTTCCAAAAGCATTAGAATCAGTTTAAATTATATATGTAAATATGCTCAAAAATCAACCAAATTTATGGAATGCTATATAAAAAGGATTAACAGATTTACAAACTGTAAATGTCTTAAAAAGTATAAATCACTTCGAACTTTGTTTTTTGAAAATATTGATAATATTGATAAATTAATAAATAAAATAGTTTTATTTCACAATTTAAATTTTAAACTTTCGGTAATTTAAATTTTAGCAAATCACAAATCGATTTTGTGATTACTAAATTAGGATTTTCTTCTGGCAGTAAATGTAAATAATTCACTAATCTGGGCTGGGTGAATTATTTTTATATGTGTTTTTCCCACTTTTCCATATTAAGTTTAAGGTTTCTACTTAAGAAAAATGTATACATTATACTGAAATTCCATAAAATTATACGTTAAAAACTTAATATTTTTATGGAATTTTTATATCAAATTTTTTATTGGGTATAATTGCCAACCTATCATTTATTTAAAAAGTTATTTTATTATAAGTAACAAAAACATGTAATTGTTTAATTCTGATCAATCTTAATCTTAGCTTCTCATCAATATATTTTGGTATTAAAAATAAATCTTTTTTGTGATCATTAATATAGATACTTTATAGTAGAATAAAAAACTACCAAAAATTTTTTGATTAATATAAAATTTGAATTCATTTTATTAAAAAAATAATCTTTAGTTTATAAAGTAAAAAAAATTTTTTGATGGCTTTCCTCTATTTTCA